TGGATCTCCTTGCAGTCCACGGGAGTCTCAAGAGTCTTCTCCAACACCACAGTTCAAAAGCATCAATTTTTCAGAGCTCAGATTTCTTCACAGTCCAACTCTCACATCCATACATGACCACTGGAAAAACCATAGCCTTGACGAGATGGACCTTTGTTGGCAAAGTAATGTCTCTGCTTTTTAATGTGCTATCTGTATTGGTCATAACGCTCCTTCCAAGGAGTAAGCATCTTTTAATTTCATGGCTGCAGTCACCATCTGCAGTGATTTTGGAGCCCCCCAAAATAAAGTCAGCCACTGTTTCCACTGTTTCCCCACCTATTTCCCATGAAGTGATGGGACCAGATGCCATGATCTTAGTTTTCTGAACGTTGAGGTTTAAGCCAACTTTTTCACTCTCCTCTTTCATCAAGAGGCTTTTTAGTTCCTCTTCACGTTCTGCCATAAGGGTGGTGTCATCTACATATCTGAAGTTATTGCTATTTCTCCCGGAAATCGTGATTCCAGCTTGTGCTTTTTCCAGCCCAGCATTTCTCATGATATACTCTGCATATAAGTTAAATAACCAGGGTGACAATATACAGCCTTGACGTACTCCTTTTCCTATTTGGAACCAGTCTGTTGTTCCATGTCCAGTTCTGACTGTTGCTTCCTGACCTGCATACAGGTATCTCAAGAGGCAGGTCAGGTGGTCTGGTATGCTCATCTCTTTCAGAATTTTCCACAGTTTATTGTGATCCAGACAGTCAAAAGCTTTGGCATAGTCAATAAAGCAGAAATAGATGTTTTTCTGTAACTCTCTTGCTTTTTTGATGATCCAGCGGATGTCGGCAATTTGATCTCTGGTTCCTCTGCCTTTTCTAAAACCAGCTTGAAAGTGTTAGGTCTGCTCAATTTTTTTGATAGGGAACAGAAAGACCTTAATATTATTAGGTCCCAATTTTTCCAGCCTCCAAAATTTTTCAATAGATCTCTACCATGATGACCGCCCTGCAGTGTCCTGACCCAGATTTCCCTTAACTTGGTGCCACTTGTCCTGCAGGAGTGGATTCTTTACAATCAAAGCCAGATCATCTGGGATGGAGTCCTGGCTGGTAATGACCAGCTAGTGACTTAACCTCTTTGCCTCAGTGCCCACAGATGTAAAATGAAGATGATAATGGTACCTGCTTAATCGGATGTTGGAATACTAATTGCGTTGATACATGTAAGAGCTTCCCTGGTGGCTCAGTTGGTAAAGAATCTGCCTGCAATGCACGAGACCTGAGTTTGATCCCTGGGTCAGGAAGATCCCCTAGAGAAGGAAATAGCAACCCACTCCAGTATGCTTGCCTGGAGAATTCCGTGGATGGAGGAGCTTGGTGGGCTGCAGTCCATGGGATCACAAAGGATCAGTTGGGGACTGGCACATAGCAAGAGCTCTAGATGTTAGCTGGTATCTGGTCCCACACAGCAGAGGTTATGTGCAGGTGAATTCTCTGGACTACTTCTCACTGCTCTGCATAGGATAAATTACAGGAAATATAGGCCTTTGCTTGTGGTGTGAAGAATGATTTGCACATTTGGAAAAGGACAGTGGTCTCAGATTGGCAGGGTGCACTTCTACGTTGATCCCCGCAATGCATGTAAAGTATAAAAACCCAGTTCGTGCACTTTTGTTCCCAAAAGCTCCATTCCCCAAGGCACAGGGAATTTACCATCCCCTTGGGTAGAGCAGTCAGGCATTATCCCTGTCTATTCTATAATTGACCTTGAGAGCCAGAGCTTAAATTGAAAGAAGTGGAGGCATGTCTCCTGTGTGTTGGCAGGTCCTCCCATCCAGTAGTGTCTTATTCACTGAAAAACATTTATTGATGGATTTCTCTGGTGGTCCAGTGGCTAAGAGTCTGAGCTCCCAGTGCAGGGGGCTCGGGTTCTATTCTATGTCAGGGAACTAAATCCCATATGCGGTACTAAGAGTTTGCATGCTGTAATTAAAGAATCTGTATGTAACAAAGATCGAAGATCCTTAGTGCCGAAACTAAGACCTGGTGCAGCCAAATAAATAAAATTTTTTTAAAAAGCATTTATTGAGCATCTACTGTATGCCAGACACTGCCATAAGTCTGTAGGTCCTGGATATATAGTAGTAAACGAGACAGATGTGGTCTTTGATCTCTTGGTGCTTATATCACCAAGATCCAACAAACTCAGCATCCTATTAGAACTTCTCATTAAACACCTCTTCTTCCAAACAGCATATCCGGAATGATGAGCCTGCATGAGCACAAGATTCTGAAGTGCCCTACAAATCAGTGAATCACCAAAGAAAGATAACAGCCACTATAGTTTTGATGATGTGCATACTTTGCTGTATTCTGATACTTTTTTGAAATTAGATCACGCATGTCTGGACACATCTATATTTTTCACAAATATTTAATTAAACTGAATGTCCCATTCCTAGAGCACATGAAAAAACAGACACCTTCACTTTACATAAGGTACTTGTATGGCTTTGTTGGTTTTCACTTGTCTGTCTTCTTTGTATGTGTCCTTTGGTGTCTTAATAGTCATTCGTCTTTTCTAACCCTCTGGACTGTGAGCTTCATCAGAGGAGGAAACTTTCTAAATCTGTATGCATCCCACTGATGACATTTCCTAATTGACTGCCCCAGCCCCCTAGGGAGGAGGACCAGATCAAGTGAGAGGGAAGGAAGGTCTTGTCTGAGGCCTAGTGATATGTCTGAGCCTTCTCTCGGAGTTCTGCCCTGGGAGCCATTTTCTTATGTTCAAAGGAAAACTGTCAGAAAACTGTTTGATTCCACTTATACGAGGTACCAAGAAGAGTCTAATTCATACAGCTGGAAAGTGCATTGGTAGATGCCAGGGGTTGGGAGTGGGGAGGGGTGTGGAGGGAGAATGGGGTGTTTGAGTTTAGGAAGGTAGAAAATTCGGGAGATGGATGACTGTGAGAATTGCACAACAATGTGAATGTACTTACTGCTAGTACTAAGTACTTAGTACTAAGTGCTTAGTACTTAATACAGTTCAATATGGTTAAAACAGTATGCTTTATATTATGTGACTTTTACCACAATAAAAAGCTTTTTTTTTTTTTTTTTTAAGAAAACTGTCAAGAGAAGGAGGTCCTAACATGACCCTCACCTGTGATTCTCTCAGCTTCTCTCAAATGACCTGATGGAGTGAAAACTCCAAATCTCCTCCCAGCACTATCTCTGCTTCTAGGAGTCACAGGCAGAAACCTGGGGAAAGCTGGGGAGTTGGTCCTCTTTGTGACTTGAAGGAATTCACCTGCTAGGAAGCCAAGAAGAGGCCAGGAGTCCCAACACTTCCTGTAGGTACACACACACACACACACACACACACACACACACCTGCCCCACCCCATCTGTACCCACAAAGGAGAAACAATTCATTGTGGGGGAGAAGATTCTAGGGGTGAAGCAGACACAAGGGAAATCACCATAGAGGGGGACAGGACAGAGAAAGGAACAACTCACAGATGGAGAAGGACACTCGTGGTAGGGAAAGAAATTTTATTTTCAAGCTTTAAGAGAATAATACAAACAACAGAGAGTTTTAAAAAACCCTAAAAACTAGTTTAAAAAAGTACTTGACAGTGTCCCTTTAATACCCACGGATGACGCGGCCATTGTGCAACGACAAGGAGGAACTGCAGGTGGCCACCCCGTGGCCTTCCCTGGCAGGGTCCTAGAACCAGCAGGTGGGCTCAAGGGACAGTGCTCCCTGCGAGGGTCCCTGGGCCCTCCCTGCTGCCCAGGAGGGACCAGGGAGCACGGAGCACTGAGGGACTAGCCGAACTGCCCCTGGGGATGGGCCCCGACAGCAAGGAATACTGAGATGGGTCTCCGCTCCACTCCTTGGGGGCACATCTGGCCAGCTTCCTTCCGTTCACTGCAGCAGCTCTCCTGGGAGACCCTGGGCAGGATATGTCCTACCGTGAGGGGCCCTGGGGTCTCAGCATGTGCCAAACCAGGAGGGGCAGTGACACAGAGCGTGTCCCGGCCATGGGTGGGGTTCGTGGTCGGGAAAATCACTCCTGGATTGACAGCTTGAGGCTGAAGCCACAGCAGCAGGACTGTGCTTGAGCTACCCATGGGAGATCTGTACTTTAGTTGTGTGTGTGTGTGTGTGTGTGTGTGCACGCGCGCATTTCCTGTAAACATCTTTGAGCCAAATCACCATAAAATAAAGCAACAAGGGCACAAAAAGACACCCAACTCCAAACCTAAGCCCTCTTTGAGCCCATCTGAAATTCGGAGTTCCAGTTTGGAAGGTTTGGAGGGAGCAAGAAACCCCCCTCCCTCTGGCCATTCAGACCAGCATCTCCCTCCTTGCGCCATCGTCCCCCCCAGGCCCTTGAGTCAGGAATCCTGCCCACCCAGGGGAGCCCAGGGGTTCACAAACACCACGTATCTCCTCCCTGCCAGCCCACACCCATCCCTCTCCCACCCCCCTCAACTGCCCCTGGAACACAGCCCAAGAGGAAACCAAAGCAAGCTCAGGGCTAAAACAGGACAGGCCACAAGTGCTTTTGTTCCCACGTGTGCACCTGTGGCCACCACCACCACCAGACACAAAGCTTCTCCCCCCTCCCCCAGCCGCAACTTTGCCCGGGTGTTTTGCACGGAGCGGGGGGTGGGGCACAGGTGGGTGCATTGTGTTTTGTTAGACTCAGTCTGTATTGCACTTCGTTGTTGCGTTTGTCTTGGTTTTCCTCCCTCTTGTTGGAGAATGGAATCAACTTGCTGAAAATCACCCGCTCACAGCACCAGCCTCCCTCCAGCTCCGACCCTGCCCCACGGCCCTCAAGGCCCACCGCCCTCTGCCCGCCCTCCGGCCCCTGGGTGCCTCTCCACACCTGCTGCCCAGACGGCGGTGGCATCGTGTTGGGGCGAGCCCTTCCCGGCCCATCCTCTTCTAGCTCGCTCTCTCTTGCACGTGCGTGGTCACGGCTCCCTCGCAGGTCTCTCGGCTCACACCGTCGTGACCCTCATGACCAGCTCTCGGCTGCCGCCCTGCGGGGTCCGCTGTTCATGAGGTCGCAAGTGACTCAAGATGTGCAGGATGGTGTAAGCACAGTGGTGATCGGACAGGGGGCCTGAGGGGTGGCTGGCCGCCCGGGCGGGGCCCTCCTCGGGGGCAGGGGTGCCCGCAACCTCCTCTTCTGAGGAGGGGGCGTTGGCCTGGGTGGACGAGGAGGTCCGGGGGTTGGTCCTGCCTCCTGTCTTTTGCTCCTCCAGGTCTTTCGCCTTGTCATAGTTCAGCACTTTCCACTGCTGGTTGACAGCCTGCCACCGTTTGAAGATGCGGTACACAGAGGGTCCCTCGTGGATGATGAGGCCTGGGCAGCAGGGAGAAGAAACAAACAGAGGTGGGTAAGAGACAGCAAGTCACTGCCGGGCGGAACCGGCCTCCCTCTGCGTGTGAGTGGGTAGAGGTGTTGGGGGTGCTTCCCTGGTAGCTCAGCTGGTAAAGAATCCGTCTGCGATGCAGGAGACCCCGGTTCAATTTCTGGGTAGGGAAGACCCCCTGGAGAAGGGATAGGCTACCCCCTCCAGTATTCCTGGGCTGCCCTGGTGGCTCAGATGTAATAAAGAATCTGCCTGCAATGCGGGAGACCTGGGTTCGATCCCTGGTTTGGGAAAATCCCCTGGAGGAGGGCATGGCAACCCACTCCAGTATTCTTGCCTGGAGAATCCCCATGAACAGAGGAGCCTGGCAGGCTATAGTCCATGAGGTCACAAAGAGTCGGACACAACTGAGCGACCAAGCACAGAGGTGTTGGGTGAGCTGAATTTATATTGGTTTGACTTGTTCTTTTCAATCCTGCCTCTCAGCTGTGGGCTGCGTGGTAACCATCCCTACATTTTTGGGCTCACTAGTCTTTGGAAGCAGGTGGAAGGCGGCCACACTGGGTACATGACACAGCTGGGTACATACACATCGTCCGTGGCCCCATCCTTCCTACTTCTCGGCCTGACAAAGTCCAAATTCATTGTCCATTGAGGCATAGTATTAATACAAATAGCTTTCCCTCCTGCGATCATGTGTCCGTGGCACCCAGCACTTAGCAGAGTGTTCAACGAATCCTGTGCCTTCAAAGGTAACATAAAAGAAACCCTGTAGTAATTCCATACCTGCTGAACGTCCAAATTCCCCTGGCTCACTTTTGGCTATTTAACAAATAGCCCAGTGCTACTGAAATACACAGGTTTCCCTGGTGGCTCAGCAGTAAAGAACCTACCTGCCAATGCAGGAGACCCGGGTTCAATACCCGTGCCAGGAAGATCCCCTGGAAAAAGGAATGGCAACCCACTCCAGTAATCTTGCCTGGAGAATTCCATAGACAGAGGAGCCTCGTGAGCTATAGTCCAAGGGGTTGCAAGAGTCTTAACATGACTTAGCGACTAAACAAAAACAACTGAAATACACACATAGCTGAAAGAGAGGGCAGTGTAGAGTCAGAAAAGAGCTGCATGAGGCAACCGGGAAACTAAACAAATTGTGTGCCTACTACCTACTAAGCGCTGGGATAACAGTGAGCAGGGCAGGCAGAGTCCGCCCTCAGAGAGCTGGCATTCCAGCAGATAGAAACATAGTAGATATGAAAACAAGCCAGTAAGACTACTTCAGTCTCTGACGTAGACGGAGAAAAACCACACGGGCTGTGGCAGCAGAATCTGTTTCCCCAGCAACTAGGACAAGAAAGAAAGTAGGACATAATTATGGAGTCTGCAAAGGGAATGGTTATCACAGGGAATGGTTGGCCCAGGGAGTCTAGACCAGGAAGGACGGAAGTAAGAATAAGGATAAGGAACATGAAAATTGATAAGTAGAAAGTGATAGGGTTGATGTCAGGAGGTCTCTATGAATTTGGAGAATTGCGAGTTAGTGAACTATAAGGATAGGGGGTGATGATCAGACAGCGGGGTGTTCAGATTTTGAAGGGAGGTGGTTCTTGGTGATGATGAACTCTTGTGGAGTGACCACTTGAGCAGGGCTGAGGTGACCTGGAGGACAAGGTCTTACGGAATAAGATAAGGAATAATGAGGAAGCCAAGGGGTTGGGCAGCTTAACTGCATCAGCCATCCTCAATGCTCTCAGACCAAATGCCCTCTTTGTATAACAAATATATATATATACATAAACACATATATGTTATATAACAAATAACATATATACATAACATATATATAACAAATAACATAGATATGTTTATATAGTTCCTCTCTCTATAAAATGTGGGGTGCTGAGGCTTTCTTTAGCCGCAGCACTCAGGGTCTTCTCCTGTTGTGGAGCACAGGCTTCTCCAGTTGTAGCTTGAGGGCTTAGTTACCCCTCGGCATGTGGGATCTTTGTTTCCCGGCCACACATCGAACCCGCATCTCCCGCACTGGAAGGCAAATTCTTAACTACTGGACCACGAAGGAAGTCCCCATAAAAAAATATATTTTAATATCCCCTTTTCTGTCTGAAATGAAACTTGTATAAGATAGCTAAGCTACTATGGTTCCTTTTTTAAATGAATATAATGCCCTAACAGACTATGTGCAGAAAAACAAAGGGCGAGTCATTTATAACAGGATAGTACAAATTTCAGTATAAATGCTGGGGCACAACCACTTTAGAAAACAAACCAAAAACCTCATACATTTTCAAAATACCCCCAGGGATTGGTAACACCTCTTTTGAGAACCACTGATCTCCAGAGATGCCAAGGACAGGACAGGTGGGAGGAAGTGTGGGGGCCAGGTGCAGGGGGACGTGAGGAGTGAGTGAGCCACAGCCGCCAGCAGCATCAAGAAGGGGAAAGGACTCTGGTATCTGATGACATTCGCTTCAGAGGGGATGGAGCTTCTGAAAGATGAAGGAAGAGGCAGTCTGGAGGTGGTAATGGGGAGCAAGGAGGACACCGCCCCACCTTCGGGCCCCTAGGATATAGTGTATGAGAGACAAAGCAGCCACTGCTTGAGACAGCCATGCAAGAAACAACGTCCTCAGGAGACAGCTATATTACAACATTAAAGGACAAGGGAGGGAACACTTGTAGGAGAGGTTGCCAGCGGTGCACCATGAGGTCCAGAGGGCATGTGGAAGGGCTGGGAAGATGGGGGTGAGCAAAATGGGCAAGAGATGGTTGTGCCTATGGTGAGGGTAGTCAAAGAGGCCAGACCCACGGTGAGCGAATGAATGACTGGGAAGAAGGCACAAGAGGGATTCAGTTGCAGGGCTGTAAACTGAGGGGCACCAATACTTTGGTCTGTCTTGGAGAATTTTGAGCATTACTTTACTAGCATATGAGATGAGTGCAATTGTGCGGTAGTTTGAGCATTCTTTGGGATTGCCTTTCTTAGGGACTGGAATGAAAACTGACCTTTTCCAGTCCTGTGGCCACTGCTGAGTTTTCCAAATTTGCTGACATATTGAGTGTGTTAGAGAAGACTCTTGAGAGTCCCCTTGGATTGCAAGGAGATCCAACTAGTCTGTCCTAAAGGAGATCAGTCCTGGGTGTTCATTGGAAGGACTGATGCTAAAGCTGAAACTCCAATACTTTGGCCACCTCATGCGAAGAGCTGACTCATTGGAAAAGACCCTGATGCTGGGAGGGATTGGGGGCAGGAGGAGAAGGGGACGATGGAGGATGAGATGGCTGGATGGCATAACCGACTTAATGGGCATGAGTTTGAGTAAACTCTGGGAGTTGGTGATGGATAGGGAGACCTGGTGTGCTGCAATTCATGGGGTCGCAAAGAGTCGGACACAACTGAGCGACTGAACTGAACTGAACTGAATGGCCATCTGATGTGAAGAGTTGACTCATTTGAAAAGACCCTGATGCTGGGAATGATTGGGGGCAGGAGGAGAAGGAGGTGGTAGAGGATAAGATGGTTGGATGGCATCACTAACTCAATGGACATGAATGTGAGCAAACTCCAGGAGATAGGGAAGGACAAGGAAGTCTGTCATGCTGCAATCCATGGGGTTGCAAAGAGCTGGACACAACTGAGTGACTGAACACCCACAAATCAAGAGGCAACTGGTCCGGCCCCTGCAGGGGAGAGCTGACTCATAGGAGTAAACAGCAGTGAATCACTCCAGCAACTCCACGTCAAGCAAAGTGGGAACATCTCAAAGCCTTGTCAACCTCTGACATGCTGTGATTCCAGGAGACAAGACAGCCACCCAATGCTACTCTTTCCTCTAGGAAGGACTCCAATAGCTCCTGAAATGTACTTTGTGCAACAGGTCTTCAAAGGTTCATAAAAGGAGATAGCTACCCTGTAGCCCAGACCAACAAACAAGTTCAGTCCTTATGAACATCTGTATGCTCTAGAATTTACCACTGAACTCCCAGTGAAAGGTGTCAGGATAAAAAAGGCCCTAAAAATTAATCAGATCTTAGTCATAATGGCTTATTGTTCATTTAATATCATCTTTATTTCTAATAGGATTTGTTGGATACCGTTCCTGAAATGTCTGCCTTAGAACTGCAGTTACAATGGAAGGATTTAATTCATGATAAAGATCAGTATATGTTGAAAACATGTAGTTCAGTTTGCTTCAGATTAATTTTTTCCGGAAAAATTGTTTTAAAGGTTCAAGGAAGCCATAGTTATAACTGAATATTATAGTTTTATTATTGTGATTTACATATTTGTTTTTTCTAAAAAATATGTTGATCCTTTATTTTCCAAAGAAATGGAGACCTCAATAATAACCATATTTACAAAACCCATGTCTTAAAATAAGGCTTACGTACCATACATAACTAAGTGTAGAAAGCCCTTTTTCAACACTGTATGCAAATTAGTTAGGTTTTTGCATGTATATTTAAGGCCATACTTCAACTGACAGTGTTTGTATCTTCAGCATGTGTACTTTAATCAGGTGGTGAATTATTCTTTCAGTCTTTGGTAGTAACTGGAAGATATCTTATGCTTTTGGTATTGCTTTGTAAAAGATTTTCATTTCAGAGAGGAGTGTTCACCTTTACCATTTAGCATAGTGATTTAAGTGTTGATCATTCCATTCAAGGAGAGTCATAATTTTTAATGGTAAATAGTGGGGTTTTGGTGGCTCAGACGGTAAAGCATCTGCCTACAATTTGGGAGACCCAGGTTCGATCCCTGGGTTGGGAACATCCCCCTGGAGAAGGAAATGGCAACCCACTCCAGTACTCTTGTCTGGAGAATCCCATGGACGGAGGAGCCTGGTGGGCTACAGTCCATGGGGTCGCAAAGAGTCGGACACGACTGAGCGACTTCACTTCACTTTACCCTGTAGCCCAATTGTTTCTAATCCTTTGGATCATGGACCCCTTTGAGGATCTGATGAAAGCT